ATATTGTCAAAGTAGAAAAGTTAGGTACGGAATGCCGCCATCCATGTGAAAAGGCATAGGCGTACAGAAATGTTTTGCATAGATTTGGAATATCCGTGAAGAAGGCAGCACATATAACTGTCATCTCCGGGGAGGGAGTCTGGGTGAGGGACATGCCAAGAGATGGTTACTTTTCAGAGAGTATCTGTAGATTTTGAGTTTCATTCTTTCATTCATCTCTGTGAGAACTGTGTGCTGCTTGCTCTGGCACATGGGACATGAAGGTAAACCAGACACTGTTTCAGCATTTAGGGAGCTAAACGACATAACTACACAGATGATTATAGCATAATGCATTAAGAGCTGGGATAGGTGTACACACAAGATGCTGTGGAAGCCAGAGAAGAAGCTCTTGAAGTGTCACAGAGAGAACTTTCTGAAGAAAAGGGCACGCAGAAATTGAAGTGAGAATTGGCAGTGGAGCTATAGGCAAAGCTATTCCAAGCATTAAAAAAAGAGAAAAGAAAAGAAAAAGAAAATAATCAGAGGTAAAGTCAGTGAGCACACAAAACAGTCAACTTTGGGGGAATTCTAAGTATTTCAGGATGAGTATAGTTTGGGTGGGGGAAGATGTCAAAAGGTAAATTAAAGAATTATTTAAGGTCCTTAGATACTGGATATTATCCTCACAGAAAAGGTGAGTAATTAAAGCTAGGAGGTGGAAGGAGAATCCTGTGTGGAGACAGAATGGGAGTTCCAAGGCAAAGTGCAAGGCTTTTAATTTAAACTAAGGAAGTACTCGAACAGATAGGAATGCATTCAACTGCTATGAACCAAAAAGAGTGCTGTAACCAGTAGTTATTATTTGATACAGGTCTGGAGGGAGGCATCTCAGGGCTGGTACAGTTACTCAGAGATGTACCAAGGACCCAGGTTTCTTTCTTCTTTTTTCTCTGCTATTCTTGGAAAAGTTGCCTGGTCACCACATCATTGCAAAGTTGCCACCGCTGATACTGGTATCATGGTTATATTCAAGGCAGGAAGAAAGAGGCAAAGGGATGGGACAAAAAGCCTTCTCTACTTAAAGCTTTTCTCTCTTTGATGAGGGAAGCCATTCACAGCAGGCTTGCTCTTGTATTTCATCAGCTATGCTCCCCTTAGACACACCATTGCTAAGGGGAATGAGATTTTACTCATGGTTTTAGACCAATTATGATTTATCTCCTAGCATGTACTAGAGGACTTCCATCCCTGAGATCAAAGGATCTCCATACATTGCATAAATAATTTAGCAATTATTAAATATATATACATATGTGTATACAGTATATATATACATGCATGTCTATACATGTAATACCCATGTATATATACACACATGTATGTGCATATATATATATATACACACCTATATATCAATGTATCTATATATTCTTTTTCTTCCTTCCAGAGAAGGAGAGCAAATGACTGTCAGATGGTCATAGGTCCCAATTTAGAAATGGTATAAACTTCTGAGTAGCTTTGGAACTTTTTCATCTAATTCTTAATATCTAGAGACAACTAATGTGGTTTCTTTTTCCTTCCATACCCATTCCTGACCTTGTTCAAGTATAGGATCATTCTTTTACAATGTAACTAGAATCACATCTGATGGGATGCCCTGTATTAGTTTATTACCAACAACTTAGTGATTTAACACAAATTTATGATCTCATAATTTCCATGGGTCAGAAGAGACAGGCACAGTTAATTGCATCCTCTGCTCAGGGTCTCACCAGGCTGCAAAGTGTTGACTGGGGCTGTGATGTCATCTGAGGCTTGGGGCTTCTTCCTAGCTCACTGGTTATTGGCAGAATTCAGCTCCCTGGGGTTGTAGGACTGCCATGCTCAGCTCCTGGAGGATGCCCCTCTCCATGGGCAGTTAGTTCACCATGTGGCTGTTTGCTTTTTCCAGACAAGCATGAGGGTATCTGCCTCACTAGGAATGTCTCCCTCCAGCCTGCTGAAATAGAGTCTTATCAAATGTACCCTAATCAAAATAGTGACTACCCCAACATATTCACAAACCTGCCCACATTCCAGGATCATCCCATGTGACCGGGTGTCAAGAATCTTGGGGGGCCACTGAAGAATTCTGCCTACGATTATCTCATGACTTGAATTTGTATTCTACTAATGGGTAGTAGCAAATTCCCACCTTTATTTTTAGTACTTTACATATTACATATTTTTTGCTTTACATATTATAATGCTTTTTTCTAATAAAATTTTAAAATTAAATATTATTTTCAGTAGGAACTAACCCACTCCACATTCCCATTCTCATTTTCAGAGTTTCCCAGGATCATGTCATACACTTTTCACTCAACAATAGCTTAAGGAAAAAAAAAAAAAGAAAGATTTTATAGCATTATTTTACTATAGAAAAAGGGAAAACAGAGTTTTAGGAAAAACAGAAGAAGAAAAGAGATGGTTTGCCTATGCTGAAAAGAGTTGTAATGTAGTCGGGAAAGAAGATATAATCACATAAGTTGAATACCAATAAAATATTTAAATGGGGGTTGAAACCAACCATGAAAGTCAAGTCACAAGGCTGTAAATTGTTAATTGTCAAATTAATCCTAGGGAGATTCAGAGGAGAGTGGTTGGATAATTTATTGTGGTGACACAAGCTACCCTTAACTTTAGTGTCTTAAAACAATAGTGTTCTTACATCTCACAATTGTGTGGGTCAGGAGTACAGGCAGGGCTCAGCTGGACAATTCTTCTGCTTCAAGGAGCATCACGTGGCACTCAGCAGGCCTTGTCTGAGGCTCCAAGAAGGGTCCCTCACAAAACTAGAACACCTTACTGCCCCTCAGCCCCTCTTTCTACATGGCACCTCATCCTTCTAGGCCCCCCATGTAGTTTGGGCTTCTCACAGCACGGTGATCTCAAGGTAGTCATACTTCTTTCCTGGCAGCTGTCTTGTAAGACAAGAAGGAAGGAAATGGACACTCTTGTCGTCTGGATCCGGAAGTAACACAGTGTTACTTCAGCGATATTCAATATGTCAACAGGAGTCACCCAGCTCAAGGGGGGGAAATACAGGACCCTCTTTCTTCTTCAACATACCTCATGATGAGGACAGTGTCAAAGCAGATGTGGCCATATTTAATTCACCATGGAGGGAAAGGTCAATCTGGACCAGAAAGGTCAGAAAAAGCTGTACACGGAAGGTAGTATATAAATTGGTTTTAAAGGATACGGATCATTTGAAAAAAATGGACTGGGGATAAGGCTAAAAAATATTAAACATATAAATATAAACCAGTACTAATGGGGAAAACTTTCAAAATGCTTAGCAAAACAAGAATTAAATTTCTTCCTCAATTTATTTCGCTCTAACAGCAAAAGAGAAGTGGAAACTTGCCTCAACCTGGCAAGTCACTTTTTTCTGTTCATAAACACGTTGATCTGATTGGGAAGATAATTTTTCCTTAAATGAGATCAGCTTATTTGAAGAAAGGTGAATTTGAGCTTAAGGATTTTATTGGAGTAATTGGGGAAGGTCAGTCAGAGTCCAGTTTGTTTTGAGAAGTGCTTAACTGTTAAAACTCTCCAAAGACAGGGAAATGCTTGTAGTTAGTCTTGAGACAGGATGCAGGGCAGGAAGACAGGGGTGTGACTTAGCGACAAGTGATCAGGCAGTTTGGGTTTAGCAAGTCCGCTCAAGGTCTTAAGAGGGTCATGATGTAAAATGTTTAGTCCTTCAGGGTCTCTCATAAGGCTTTGTTCAGAAAGGTTTAATCATTATAGCCATAATTTTCTGACTGAGACGAGGCTTTCCTTAGATTTGTAGTTCATAGATAAATAGCTCTCTAGGTGTGTGTGTGTGTGTGTGTGTGTGTGCGCGCGCACGCGCGCATGCGGGCACTCCTTGCAATACAAGAAATGAACACATTGCCTGGCACTTGGTGGAAATTTAATATTGCTTAACGAACTGTATTATTCATGTTCTCTCGATACAAATTGAAATAATCTACATTTTCCCTCAAAGTTTTGCCTGTGTAACATTAAACTGGAAACAGGAATATTTTAAAAATACACACCAATTAAAAATCATTCCTGTATGAGGTGAGCATAGCTCTTGTCTTGCACTTCAATTTTCAAAATTCGTATCTAACATTTTCTTTCAATCCTTTTTTTGACACTGATATATTTTGAATTTATGACTATCAAACCTGACATTACAAAGACAAAGGCAGAGGGAACAAACTCATGAGAAATACTTTTAAAATATATCTTTTAATGTGTTATAACAGCCTGGAGAATTATCACATCTTACTACTCCTTTATGTGGTAATTAGATTCCTCCTACCCTCTCCGATAAAGCAGTAGCTTTTAGCTGTTTTATTTTATTTGGTCGGGAGCACTGAAAAATTCCAAGCTACAGTAAGGGATAACATCTTAAACGGTGTTGGAGTTTGACAAAGGTCTACAGGCTTGTGCATTTTACACAGTTATCTACTTTCCGTAGTTTTGTTTCTTGAGCTCTAAGTGGCTTCTCGGAAACTGCTAGGTTAAGCAAACAAAAGAAAAAGGAAAACAGACTGCGGGACTCTTGAGACTCTGAAACCGTAATCTAGAGCGAACCGGTTAAGCCTTCAGAGACCGGAGAGGAGGCTGTGTGCGATTGGTAGGCAGAGCAAAAACATTAGTCCAGGATGCCGGGCAGCTGGATAGCGCCTTCCACCAGCGCACACATAAGCCTTCTTAACCCAGAATGGCCGGGGGAGCTGAAACGCGTTCCCACCCTCTGTCCCACTAAAGTAAATAAGTGAACCTTGCTTCAGATGAACTGCAAAGGACAGTCTGCAGATATATCTATAGATATATAAATATTAGGAGTTTCGACCTCTCTCCCAGGAGGTGGGCTAGGCGCCACCTGCCAGCGTCTTCCGCTATCTCCCTCCCTGACCTGCTGGGGCGGAGAGGAGGCGGGGGAGGATGCGGCGCGGGGGTGGCCACCGCACATCCGGGCGCTCCTGCAGCCGGCCGCTGGCTGCATAATTGATGGAGGGCCGGACGCAGCTCTGGGTGTGCTGCTGGCGCGGTCAGAGTGTCTCAGGGGAGGAGGGCAGGGCGGCCGGCCCCTCACACTCCGCCTTTTCTCGAGTGTCCTGCCCCCGGGCCTGGCAGCGGGCGCCGGGCCGCCGGCGAGTGTGCGCAGCGACTCCGGGCACCGACGGCGGTGGGTGCGCGAGGACCGCGGCGGACCTGCTGGCGCCATGCCCTCCCTCCCCAGTCTGCGGGGGCCCCGGGCGCCGCCCCTGCCGCTGCTCCTCCTGTGTCTCCTCGCCCCGGTACGCCGGAGCTCGGAGGACGGCCGTACCCCAGGTGTGATGGTTTCTGGGCCAAGGAGGGGGCGGAGAGCGCGCGGGGATGCTGGCTACCGCGGGTGGGGAACGGCGTCCGCCTCCTCCCGTTTGCCACGCTAGGGTTATCTAAACTGGCCGAGAGGCCGGTGCGGTTCGGGCTCCTCCGCTGGAACGAACAGCGCCCTACGAGACGGGGTCGTGGGTTAGTAGGGCAGTGTCTGGGTGTTCCTAGGAAAAGGGCGTGAGGGTACGGGCAGGAACAAGGCAGCGACTTGGCCTCTGCTAAAGTGGCAGAATTTCTGAAAGCCACATTTCCCAAGGCCCTTCACTTAAATCGATAGTGAGGCTTAAATATCCCCTCCTCCCTTCCTGGCAGGTGAGTTGGCTTTGATGATGTTTTTTAGAGCTGAGCTGAAATAACAACAACAAAACAAAGCCCCACGACTTAAGGATAATAATGTGTGTATCTTCTTTTCTACCTTGGTCTTTGAAAACAAAGACCATGGGTTTTTCTTTGTTTGTATTTGTGGTTGTATTATTAAGACATTGAAAGAGGGATTTTGGTGCAAAGCATCAGGGAAACGAACACCAGATTTGCCATTTTAGCTTCACCTGTTTATAATTACTTTTTATGGTGAAAGTATTCCATCTAACGTACTTTCTAATGCAAGTTCCTGTGTTATAGATTTCAAAGTATTAGAGGCTGATTAGGATAACAGACCACCTCCAAGTTTGCAAATATTGCCCATCAGTAACTAAAATCAGGATATTATTCTACACAAGGTTTCGAACCTTTAATAGGAATTCATTTTTTATGAGCTTATAGCATGTAGATTTTTTGTAACATACTTTGAAGATGGAAAGATAATCAAATAATAAGATTACTCATTTTTAAATAAATGTCCTTTAACAGGCCTAGCTGTTAACAACTTGGACAGAACATTTTGGGTTGCCTCAGTTTCTAAATTTCCTCACCCCGCTTTGCAGCCACCTTTCTCTTTTTCATTCACACCACTTATGAAGAATGGTCAAGGACGTTTTCTACACCCTGGGCTATCCCTGATTCACCTATCATTCACCTGAGAGTACTACACTTCTGAGGACCAACGCATTCTAGGTGTGTCCTAGAACTTTGGTTCTCGAGTTGGCTGTATGTTGGAATTACCAGCGAGCATTAAAAATGCTGATAAGTGGATCCTGCCCTCAAAAATTCTGATTCAGTCGGCCTGGGATTCAGCCTACACGTAAGGAGTTTTAAAAGCTCCCATGTGATTTTAATCATATGATCCTAAGCAGGTTGAAAACCACTGCTTTGAAATGATATGGCCTAGAGAGTGCACTGTTGGATAGGTATTCCATTGGTATCAGGGAGTCAGGTTTAAATTGACACTTAGAGCAGACTTCCAAAGAGAAAAGTAGGAAACAAATGAAGGTGGGATAAATTAACAAATAAAGTTTTAAATAAATAGAATGATGTATATATGTACGGCAGATGTCTGTGTGTGTATGTAGCACAAGTCCTGTCCTTTAAGCTCCACTTAAGCTAAAATTATGGAAGAATGTGACATATAAAAGGCATGAAGTTACTTAACATTTCATTTCAAGGCAGAATTAAAACTTGTGAGGCAGCCTCATCTCACTTTATAGATACTGTATCGATCTCGGTGAGGTTCAGTTTCCTCCTTGCTAAAGACCATTGTGAAGTTTACTGGCTATTTTTTACCTAGGTGCTTTTGAACTACTTGGACGTAGGTGTTCTATAAACCTAAGATTTGGGGCCAAATTTTAAAAATAAAAACGTTTATCATTTTTTATCATAAATGTATCATATCTACTATGTAACAACTGTGTGCCAGGCATTGCACCATATCGTTTATAGCTCTATGGGTTAGTTTTTATTATCCCTGACTTTCAGATGAGGAAATTGGAATTTAGAGAGGCTAAATAGTTGCCTAAGTACAAATGATTAAGCAGTAGAGCAGGAAATTTAGCATGTTCAGTCCGATTCCAAATACTGTGTTCTTAAACTCAGTTGTCTCTCTGAGATGAGTGGGTATGTTTATGAAAGTTTGGAATCACTGACAGCAGAGTGTGGATACAAATGCTAGATTTGGGTTGTAGGGCTTCCTGACTCAGTTTGAGTCCTGGAATAAAGTTGGCACAAGGACTCACCTTAACTCTTTTAGACTGTTTTAATTAAATAAGAAATGTAGAATATCTTTATGAAGGAGAAATATTACATAAATGGGAATATTTAAAAATCATTATTATTACTCTTATGGGGGAACAAATTGAAGGAAAGGGTCATGCTTATCTTTTGAAAAATGTTTGCAGGGGAGTCATTTGAAAGGATCATTTTTAACTTCTAAAGGATGTTGCTTACATGCTTCCTTGATCAATGCCTCCTTCCTTTCTAGAGACACACAGAGCAACTGCCCGGTAGTAAATATTTGTTGGAACAAATATTCGAGTACCTACATATGCCTTACATTGTTAGTCTATATCTAAGCAGAAAACTTTAGCAGTTTTTACCTTTCATGGCATTTAAACTTTAAAGGAACGGATGGGATATAAGCCTGTCTTTAATAGGGTTATATCTGAGGCATCAAAATTTTGACCCTAAATTACCATCACATTTGAAATTACATTATATACACTTTTGTTAAGAATTAGTTCAACTGGCTCTTCCTCGTCCTGGTCTTTTATCCCCACCTCTCATCCCCATCTCCTTCCCTTCCTTCTGGGAATGAGTCCTGTAGTCATTAGGTGGGGAAATGTGGAAGCATCTCCCCTGTTGAAGGGACCCAAACTGTTTCAGGTCAGGGAATTAGAAGCTGAGCCCAGTAAGGATGGCATCCAGGTAGGAGGGCAGCCCCGTGTAGAGTGTTAGAGCCGAAGCACATGAGGTGGGCGTTCCTGCAGAAGGGTGGTCTGGCGAGAGGCCTCAGCGCTGAGCAGAGTGACAAGGGCTTCTACGCAGCTATGGCATGCAGGTCTGATCCTGATCACAGGATGGAGGTAAAGCATGCAGGAGCAGACAGTGCAGGATGCTGGAGCCTAAGTGGGTGAGGAAGACATCTCTTTGGGGCCAACAGGAGATTAGTTATATATGGGGGGATTGATCAAATAAGTAAAGCTGATGAGGATAATAGAATCTAGGTTTTTCTCTAGAGAAGAAGGAAATAAACGGGGAAAACTAAAATGAACCTTGTGGTGTTGGACTGCAATTGGCAGCATTAGCGTGAATTCGTGACTCTAAATATCTATCTCTATCCATGTCTTATGTGTATATATATCTATATAAATAGATGCATAAATATAAACGTGTATGTGTAAATATATGTATAATGCATATATGTGTCATATATATTGACAGGTGATCCCTGAACACAAAGGTTAATCTATGTATAATTTATAGTCAGCCTTCTGTATCAGTGCATCTGAGGATTGAACCAACCATGGACCATGCAGTAACGTAGTATTTACTCTTGAAAAAATATGCGTATAAGTGGACCCCTGAAGTTCAAACCCTCATTGTTCAAGGGCCAACTGTATATATGTATGTGTATTATACCCATTATATATATGTTGTGTGTGTGTGTATGAATATGTACACATGTATTCTTAGGTCTGCCCACTGCGATGGAGCAGTGATGAACATACTTAGCACCCAAATCTTGACTCTAAATACATTTTTTTCCACTAATAATAACTTGGACTTTTTATAGAAATGGCTGATATCAGGACTGGAGTGGGGAAAGGATAGGATAAGTCTGGAACATCTTATGCCAGAAAGCAGTGAAGTGTTCAAAGAATAATGGGTGATGTCAAAAGGATACAGAAGCCAAAATGAAGTGGGTACGAATGGACAAATAGAGCGTGAAAGTAAATAATAATACTAATGGACTAGTATCCATATGCACTGAATAATGTCCATTGAATTATATAGGTATTCATGAGTACATACTGAACTTAATTAAATGAGTCAATTGAAAGTTTGATGAGGCACAAAATATTATATAGTTTCAAAGTAATTTCCCACAAAATTGGCATTAATGAAAAGGGAGAAAGAATAACTTCTAAGTGGAGAAGCCTGGCAGACACCACTTTAATCAAATGATCAGAGTGTAAATCAGTAAAGAAAGAAATAAAATTGTGTGTCATCTGATAGGATGCAGTGAGAAGAACACAACATCTCCTCTGTGATTTTCCTGCCAAAGATGTCTACTCTGAATGTAATCGTATTACAACTTAACTATCCTGGAACTTTCATAAGCATCAAGGTCATAAAAGTCAGGAGAGACTAAAGCTGTTTAGAGTGAAGAGAATAGAGGGACATGGCTCATGACAGCTCATGTGATCCTGAGCTGAAACCTTTGACTAAAAAAGTACATTATAAAGACTTTTGTTGAAACTTAGATAAGATGTGGGATGAGATGATAGTGCATAAATGCTAATTTCCTGATTTTAACAGCAGTATTGGGGTGAAGTGGACTATGTCCTTTGTAGGAAATAATGTTGTAATGTTTCCGAGGTCGAATGGGTCATCAGGTGACCAACTTGTTCCCCAGTGGTTCAGGGGAAACATTCTTTACTCTGTACGGAAAACTTTTCTGTTAGTTTGAGATTGCTTGAAAAGCAAAAAGAATTTCAACTCTGAGAAAGCTTGAATTAACAGACAAACTACAAGCATAGCTGAGAAATAGTCATCAGTTTATGTAATTAGGTACGATTTTCCAAAGGAGTATTTGCCCTCAAACAGATACAGATTGTTAAGTGTTGAGGCTGTCTGTCCTAGATTGTAATCTTTTCAAGTTACTTTTGTATAGCTGGCCTCACATATTTCACAATATTAGGTGAACCTCGGAAACAAACAACTTAGGACACACACATTGACATAGAAGGAAAAAAAACCTCACAATGGTTTACTAAAATTAAACTCTCTACTCCTAATAAAACATAGTCACTATTCATGCACAACAAAATATCTCAAATAATATATTGTTAGTATAGAATTAA